CTACTTTCAAAAATAATTCTTCTTAAAAATAGCATGTATCTGGGCACACTAAGTAAAATGTAAAAAAGGAAAAGAAAAAAAACTTCCTTGACTTGCTTAAGTATTAAAAACAGACATGAGTAAGAGCATCTGGGGGCCGGCTCCGAACCCCTGACTCCCTGGTCGGCGCGGGCTGGACCGCCCGGGACAGAAAACCTGCTCTCCCCCTGGAAAGCCCTTGACCTATTTACCCTGCTCACTGAGTCCCTGCTCTTCCCAAAGTCAGCAAAGGGCCGTTAAGGGAAAACCATCTCATCCCAGCACCCCACAACCTGCCTTCGGCTGGGATCAAACTTTGCAGTCCACACCAGCCTCTTGGAAAAGGAAAGGTCTGTTTATTCAGAGGCAGGGTGCCCGGCTCCCACCGTGTCCAAGCTTTGGTCTATAGGCATGAAATTCCCTGCCTCCACGTGTCCTCCTTAAGGAGTGGTGGAAGCAGAGATGGTGCGGGAACGACCCCTTTTGCACTGTGAGTTGCCAGGGGAGGAGGCAAGGGTGAGACCCAGGAATCGACTTAGGCCTCCACTTGTCATCCCCGCGAGCAGGATGCTCACTGCGCCCACCCGCCTGGTGGCTGCAGGTGCTCGGTACACGGACAGAGTCCCCTGCACACTGGCTCTCTCCCCGGGCCGTTCTGTCTCAGTAAGCGTGGCCTATTTCTCATCGGCTAATTTGCTCCTAACTTCTATCTACTTCTTTTTAAATTGTGGCAACAAATCCTAGCCTAAGATCTACCCTCCAACAAATGTTTCAGGGCACAATACCTATCTTGGCAACTAGAGTTGCAATGTCGCACAGCAGATTTCTAGAACAATTGCCACTTCATGTCATTGAACGACAACCCCTTCCCCCTCTTCCTCCCCCTGCCAGCCCCTGGCAACCACCACCCAACTCTCTGCTCTAAGGCCTTACAGGACCGACAAGGAGGGCTGTCCAGGGTGCGTGGGCCTGGCAACAGTCCTTGAAGGCGGTTCCGGCCACATGCCTGCATCCAGTTTATCTCTAATGGAGAACCAGGCCACCTATTTTTTCCCTTCGAGGACCTGCGTCAAGAGCAGTCATTTGCTGTCGGTAGCACACTGTGATCCCCTCACTTGAAGGCCGTCACAAACTGGGGCAGCTATTCTTGTCCCATCGGGGACAGTGACAGAGAAGAAGCCATGGAGCAGGGAAACGCCCATCTCCTAGATCTTTCGCCTCAGTGGGCGGGGTGGAGGGCTGGAATGCTGTAGAGGCGGTTGGTGTCAGGCCAGAGACCTCAAACTAGGAGAGGAAGCCTTTCAGATCCGGCGGGAACGGCAACCAGCACGCAGCTGACTGACTGTGACCCCCGGGAAAGGGCCGAGAATGGCAAAAAACACGCTACACTTAACCAGAAACGCTTGAAAAGTAAACATTCCTCAAACGTTTGCCGATGACATAAATATTTACTGAGGTTTATCTTCAGCTACACTTATTGTCTTGTGTTTGACATAATATTACATTTTAACGTAAACAGAGGAACATCTGCCTTTGTAGGTGAACGGTTCAGTTCACCAAGCAGAAATTGTCTAGGGGATCAAATACACCGAGGTTAAAAGTGCAGGCTCTTGGGGGTCGGAATTGGGGGTTAAGTCCTAACCAGGCAACTCCGCCACGCGTGCTCAGCGCCTTTCTTCTCGCTCCTCAGCTCGGGTCCTTTCGTCTCAGACAGGCCCTCGCGGTGCTGCTGCAGAAGCTGGCTTTAGGGCTGTATCATGCTGAGCTCGGTGCCCGGATCATTACTGGCAGTGGGGTTTTTAACCATTAATAATCATTACTTTTAAATAACATTAGGGGAGGAAAAAAAGAAAGTTCAGCCTTTGTTAAGAACGGGGAGGGTCTCGGACTTTCGCTCACTTGCCAGAGAACAGGTTACCCTGCCGTAGTTTCGTGGCTGTGAGCAGAAGACAGGGGACTCCTGAGTCAGGCAAAACCGCAACAGCAGCAGCCAGGGGATGAGCACCCGCCCCCGAGCCCCGGTTCCAGCAGGGGGCGCACAGAGGGCGGGACGATGCTGGCACAGCCAGTGCAGAGACTCACGGAGAGGAACCCCAGCCTGCTCATCTCGTGTCTCCCCTAACGGGCAGTGAGCCGGCCTGGCCCGGACCCGGGCGCTATCTCCAGTGTCGTCGACCACCCACCAACCTGCCCTCTGCCCCTAACGGGGGACGCCACGCTGGTGTCCAAGGCGGCTTGCCAGGCAAACATCTGTGAGAAGATGGTTCAGAACAAAGGCTGCCGGGGCCTCTGCTCCGAGGTGCGCAGCCGCACCAGAGACACGTGGAGAACGGTCTCCCCGTGGCCATTACCTTGCGCTTTACTCTAAAAGAATTCTGGATGCAGAAACGAAAAGAAGGAAACAAAGGAAAAGAAAGGAAGGAAACATAAACTATAAAACACTGGGAGAAAAAATAAAATAGTATTAATTTAAAATTAGTATTATATAATAATAAAAGACAAAATAAATAATAATCCATGGTGTCTATAAACAATATTAGTAGTAATAATAATAATAACTAAGGAAACCCACTTTGTAGAATGCTCGGGCAGTGTCCGCCGAAGCTGAACATTTTCATCAGACGTGACTCGGTACTTCCATTCTGGACCAAGTGTGTGTGTATCCATAGATACCATTTTTCATCCTTAGTGAGGACATGCTTATTAATTGCAGAGAGAGAAGAAGGGAGAGAGAGAGAAGCGTCAGTCAGTTGCCTCTCACATGCGCCCCAACCAGTGCTGGAACCCCCAGGCTAGGCATGTGCCCTGACCGGGAATCGAACCTGCAGCTTTTTGGTGTCTGGGATGACAGTCCCACCAGCTGAGCCCACGGCCAGGGCTGTGGCTCCAGGTGTGAAAGGAGTGGCTGTGGAAGGAGCGTGGGCTTGGGGGTCAGACAGAGCTGTGGTCACACCCTGCTGTCTACCAAGTCCTTTGAGCCCATAGTTCCCCATGAAGTAGAGGAATGGATGAAAATAACCCCAACCCTAGAGCTATGTGAGGACGAGCAGAGGGAGTCACATCCGTGAGGCACCTGCAGGCACGGCGTCTGGCCCATAGAAGATGCTGCATAAATGGACCTGCCCAGACCGGCTGTGCCCAGGGATGTTTTGGTGGCAAAAAAAAAGTACCGCCAGAATGAGACAAGTCTTTGGGACCCCAAAACAGAGAAGGTGTAGAGGAGAGAGGAATTCTTCCCGGTGCATTCAGTGGCCATCTGCCGAGGGCTAGTGCCAGCTGGAAGATGGTGGCACCAAGTGCCAAGGACAGAGCTTTCGCTCTGGGCCTAGATGGCCTGAGATCAAACCTCGCCATCGGCTTTCACTAGCTCATTGACCTTGAGCTGGTTCTGTTAATACACCTATTCTCCGTCTCTGTCCTCATTAGAAAGACGGCGTCATGGTTCCCTCCTCCTGTGCTTGCCACGGTGAGCAGAGACAGTATCCTTGTACCCAGTGCACTGGGGACTGGGCCGGTGGAGGCTGGGACAGTGCAGCCCAATTCTTGGTGTCCGGTGCCCTGCCCAGGCTGCCCTGCCGCACTTCCTCCGCACCCCCTGGACCAAACCCCCTAAACTAAATACCCTCCAGTAGCCTCCATGTAAGTCTCAACAAAGACATTTTCAAAAATGAAAACGCCCAGAGTTCTTGTCAATCAGCATCATTCTTTTGATTCCAAGTATCTCTGCCCGCCCCTGCTGGGGTCTGGGTTGGGCTCACCACCCCACGGGGAACAGAAGCGGAGGTGCCCCCCCACTCTCCCTCTCCTCCCACGGCACCTGACTTGGGGGGCCAGGGGAGGGAGGAGAGGTGAGGAGGTAAGGACCTTCCTTGGCTGGTGCAGCTGGAACCCAGCATTCCGTAGAAGAGGTACCAACCCCTCGCTTCCTTCCGTGAGCTGTTCTGGTGGGATCCCTGGAGACCTTATGAGCCAAGTCTCACATTCACGAGGCTGGCTGCGTCCCCCTCCCCCTGTGGTGACAGCAAGCACGGAGGCGCCTCCACTCCTTGGCTAGGCTATTCTTGCTCTGCTTCAGGGACCCGTCCAGCCAGCATCTGTCCTTTAGGCAAGTAGAGGCTCACTGCTGGCGCTATGTAATTATTCCTGTTCTGGGCATTGTAGGGCGTTCAGCAAAATGCTTGGCTTCTACCCACTAGGTGCCAATAGCACCCTCCTCTGGGCTGTTACAAAAATGTCCCCAGACTTTGCCACATGTCCCCTAGGGGGCAGAATTGGCCTTAGTTGAAAGCCACTGGATTAGACTCTACTGGAGCCAGAGATCATAAAAAATTTCAGTGCTTTCTAAACTCCAGGAGAGACTTCAGGCTCCGTGAACATTTGGCTTAAAGGTGCTAATCTCCTTTCCTCTAAGTGCTCACGAAGCTTCTCAGTCCTCCCTGCTTCCTATAGCCTGGGGAAGGGGGACCAGGAGCCAAGAGAGGGAAACCCTGGTTTGGGCCACTCCCAGCCATCGCCAGAACGTACAGCATTTGTCACTTTTGTCAACATTTATTGCAACAGGAGACACATTCCATGTGGGTGCACTGGGGGGACCAGAAAAGGGCTGTTGAATATCAGGTTCAAGGACATCGTAAGTAATCTAGAACAAATGCACATGAGGGAAATGAGTTTCATGAGAAGAGAAAGCATTTTAAGCATACGCAGCTTCCTTGACATCACGTTCTGAGGCTGAGCCCAAAGGCCCCCATCCCGTGACTAAAAGCCCTTCTAGGCCCCCTGGGCTTCCCCCCAGGGGGTGAAAGGGGACGGGAGAAGGAAGCAAGAGCTGGTGGACAGAGAGAGGAAGGCCAGGAACCGGGACAGCAGTGATTCTTCCTCCTTCTTGTTTGACATCAACCCCCAGGAATTGCTTTTCTGCAGAGACGGCGCGGTTCACTCTCAGAAGAGCAAATCGAACTTTATGGAAAAGGAAAAACAAGACATGTTGTTCCATAATATTTTATTGTCCACAGCATGAAAGACACGGAATGTTGATCCTCAGGAGCAGGAAGAAAGTTGACCGTGTTTACAAGGAACACCAGGGAAGAGGTGAGGAAGGATTCGCCACAAAATCTTCAGTGCCGTGGTGCTTCACGAACTAACCCATGAACTTGTAACATGGATGACTTATCAGATCAATGCTAAACACGACCATGAATGCAAGTTACCGACCCCACGGGCTTGGGGAGAGTGTGTGTCAAAGCAGTGGGAGCGCTTCAGGGGCCCCAGTTATATTTTCTAAAGGTGTAAGTTCCACTCCCTCCCCGCCACAGTAGACAAAGACATTCAACAGTCACAGAATTCTTTCATCGGCCACCTACCACGAGAGTGCCTGCGCTTTAAGGCCCCGGTTGTCAAACATCCGAGGCCTTGTCGGGTCAGTTGGAGGCCCCACCCAGCAGTCCGTCCCCAACCCCGGGACCAGGGGGTCATTCTATTCAAAGTGAACGTAAATGTTTAATCAGACTGGAGCTCCCCCTTTGAGGGCAGCACCCCGGCTACAGCAAGTCTGCCATTCCTTGTTCAGCATTTCAAGATCTCAGAAAGTTCTGAAAACAAAGCCCGTTCTGGAGCTGGTGGCATACACACTTGCCAGCAAAACCTGGCACTTACGGAGCTGCTTAGAGTCTTCGTCCACTTCGCGTCCATTTTCTACATTTTACGGCAGAAATATCAAGGTGTGGACTGACAGGCAGGGTGTGGCTCCAGACCCTTTCCGAGGACTTCCGTAAGACACGGGCTGCACAAGGTAGTGTTATCTTTCTCAAAGCCAAAAAAGTCAGGGCGTACATTTGCCCCACGTTTGTGGGGACCTGCAGTAAGCCAAACGTGTGCCCGAGTTTCAGGGGAACGAGAAAACTCTGGCAGACGCCCTGAACCACAGTTCCTTCCATCCTTCTGGGAGGTCAGTAGGTCTGGAACATCCCGTATCTCAACAAGGGCAGGCAAGGCTCTGGGAATGCAGTCCTGCAGGTCCCCCTTATAGGATTTTTTTCTGAGAAAGACTGTGTTTCTGCCCATAGCCCTAGCGATGTGACGAATAATGAATGCCTATTTTGTTTTCTTTGGAAGCATTGTCTCTGAGGGGTGGGAAGGGGGCCTGAAAGAACAGATTGGGGAACGAGCCCGTTAACGTGACGGCCACCCAGGACAGGTGCCAGGGTGTTGCTCATTCAGCAGAGTTAATAACAATGTATCATGTATAGAAAGTATTCTCTAGGTGCAGGGTTTACAGAGTAGGTGGGACTGAACCTGAGCTCTGCCCCTTAGGGAGAGCAGAACTTGCCAAAGAAAATGACGTTTCGCGTTTTGTTGTGCCTGATGATGTAAATGAACGGATGGTCGGCATTGAACTCGTCTTTGTGCTGTAGGATCCGCGACCCCGGCACCTCGATGGAGTCCCCGCCCTCTTCGGTGATTTCTAAGCACACTCTGTGAATGACCTGGGACAGGGCCGTGCCCTTGACCTCTGACATTCCTGAGAAATCAGAGGTGTTCTCATTAAAGGTACTTTTCAGGCCTAGGTTTTCCAGACTAGCCTTGGGATCGACCGTCTTTTCCACCTTGAATTTGGGAAGGGAGAGTTTGACTTTGGTGTTGGCCATGGTGCTCGGGTTGGTCCACTGCAAGAGCGTCTCTGACGTGAGTTCTTTTTCAGCCTAAAGAATGAAAGGAGAAGAAAGTTTGTTTGTTTTTTAATTTCCAGTGGTAAAATGCCCTGTGGGACGGAGAACACAAGGTGGCTGTGTGCCCCGTCCCAAAGTAGCACAGAGGGACCATCACACAGGGCACCACCCCACAGTTTTGGTGTGTAACTGTTTCCCCCATAAAAGGCCCGCCCCCCCCGGGCACTGGACTCCACCCCACCCCACAGCTAGGGCCCCCGTGCCCTGGAATTCACACAGGCAGTTCTTGTAAGCTGTAGAGTTGCTTCGTTGAAATGAATGCATGGATTACAGCATTGTGTACATAGTAGTGAAATAAAATCAGAAGGGCTTGCATATGTAATATTTCTTGAATGCTTATTTTGATTTCACTACTGGGAAATCCAGAATACTCCTGTCCTTGGCATGACATCACATCTAATAACTCAGATTAAAGCTAAGGTAAACTCTTCCAAGAATGAGAATTTGAACTGTTCATGATCACTCTTTAAGATACTGGGTAACAAATGCATCCCTTTCAGTTGGTTATTTAAAAAAATAAGAGATAAAGAGATAAATATATGAGGGGATGGGTGTGTATATAAACTGGATGGGAGGAATCCTTTTATAATTTATACATTTACCAACTCATCCTGCTGTATACTTTAAATATCATATGATTTTATAGTTCAATAAATCTGAAAAATAAGAGGTTATGTTCTTAACCTGCATAAAAGCTGAGCTTTCCTCTGTCATACAAGGAGATCTCTCCATCTGGGTTCTAATCCAGGGGCCGCCGTGTGGCTAGGACGCCCCTGACCGTGACCAATGAGGACCGAGAAATACTCTGCACGTCGAGTACACAACAGATTCCCAAGCAAAGGAAGTAAAACATCTCATTAATAATTTTCACAGAGACTGCATGTTGAAATGATAGTATTTTGGAAATGTTGGGTTAAATGGAATATTTTATTAAAAATTTTTAAACGAGATATGAAATGAGGCATAAAATGGTTTCCTCATAAAATGCTTCACTGAGTGAATCTGAAGTCACTCCTTCTGTTCTGCACTTCAATATGAAAAAATGATATGAGGATATTCTAAGTGTGAGGTGGCTGAATAATGACTGATGGAGAAAACGGGGTGAAGGCATGGAGTCAAAAAGGGAGACCAGTGAGAAAGAGAAGAACAAGACAGACTTAAATCCAGAGGACATGGTGGTGGAGCAAGCAAAATGATAACTGAAGTCACAGCCGAGACGTGACCGCGTGACATCACCCCTAGAGAGTCAGGGGGTCACTGAGGCATGACAGGAACTACAGCAGGTGACCCCCGGGCTCCTCAAGGACTCCCTCCTTCTCCCTGGTCAGGGCTGAGAACCTGGTGGAAGGTGGGGGATGGAGGGAGGGAGGAGTGGTGGCTGAGGGAGAAGAGGGGACGCAGGTGAGGCTGCCGCAGTGGAGGGCAAGCGACATTACTCTCAAGCAGGTAAAACCTCAACCAGGTGCGAATCTTGTGTCTCTAATAACCTGTATGAAATAGGACGCATAACAAAATCTCATCTACATGTGTGTGCATGAACAGAGCTTTTCAAAACTCACAGGATGCACAACACACAGAGTGGACCCTAAAGTAAACTGTGGACTTCCCTGGATAACCACGTATCAATATTGATTCATCAATTGTTTAAGAAAAAACACTATTGATGCAAGATGCTAACGATAAGTAACTCTAGTCTAGACTTAAGGACACGCATTCCACCTTCCTGGGCTCAAACTCCGATTGATTCTATGAACCACTAATGAGTCACGTGACTGTGGACCTGTTGCCTGCTCCTCTGTGCCTGGTGCCCTCATCAGTGGGCAGCTATGGTGACAGTTTCCAGGTGACAGTTTCCAAGTCCTAGGCTTGTCGTGAGAGTTCAATGAGATGGCACACAGAGGGAATTCACAGTTCCAGGGATGCGTTGTAAGTGCCCGATAAATGACAGCTGTTTTGAACATTAAGGAGGAAGACCCAGAAAGGACCGCAGAGCCCTGGAGACGACGGAGCAAGTGACGTGTGAGGCAGAGCTGTGGCCTCTTCCACAGCCCTCCACCACCGCAGGGGACACCGTGGCACGGCCCGCCCGCCCCTCCTCACCTTCTCCAGACCCGTGGACTCGTCCTCCAGGTCCTTGGGCAGCAGGATGAGCATGCTGAGGTGCTTGTTTTGAAAGGGGAGCTCTATGATCTTGCAGTTGATGCCTTCAATGTTGCCCATGCAGAAGGTGGCTTCCAGGCTCATCATCTGCACCGGCCTGGTGTCCGTCTGGAAGAGCAGACAGACTCTGCACCGCTCGCTTTGACCTCCCGCGAGTGTGCATGCTGATGCGTATCTTATTCCCCCCCCATCAGAGACAGTGACTTATGCTTTCACACATGCACACACACACACACACATGCACACACGCAGGTGCAGACATCCATACACACACTTATTATTTTGTTCTTGTCACAATTCGATAAAGTATTTGGAACATTTGTTCCCCCTCTTTGTTAAGGGGACAAAGGCAGCCTCCTTTGGCCATTTGGTTTTTAGGTTAGCGATACATGAATTTGTGTGTGTGTGTGTGTGTGTGTGTGTGTGTGTGTGTGTCCACCCTTGTCAGAACAGGTACCATACTAAACACTTAACACCGCCACATCATGATTTCATCCAGCCCTTAAAGGAGACACACAGGCTCCGTCAAGTGACTCAGAAAGTTCAAAGGCTGACAAAAGCAACCGAAAGGAAACAAAGAGAAAGTAAGGGCCTCAGCATTCAAAAAGAGGGTGCGTCCCCACATAGCGCTGAGTGGTGTTTTATTGCCTTGTTAGGGGAGCCACAGAGAGATCAAGGGCATTTCAAAGCCATGTTTACAAGCCAGGCACCTGTATGTGAAAAGTCCCATGCAGTGTGAAGAGTGGAACGCCTTGCGCTGCGCATCCGAGACACGCCCCACGTGCAAGGTCAGGCTGTGCCTCCGGGCAGCCTTGAGGTGGCCACTGAACTCCGGGGAGGTGAGCTGGGGGAGTGGATGGAGGGTCCCCAGGACGAGTGGGTATTTTGAAGAGGCAAGCAGCCCTCTCGGCAGGGACTGTGCTGTCCCAGTAAAATGCCCAGTGGATCTTCTACAGGGACCCACGGTGGCCCCAAAGGCCAGTCAGGTTTGTCTGCTGTTGCCTGTGCCCAACTGACCCTCAGGGACGGGTCACTGCTCCATCAATCAAACAGTTCTGAGCACCTACTGCTATACCAGAGCTGGGCCAGGAATTATAGAAACAGAGGAATTAGGCATTATCACTGCCGTGACAAAGCCCATGTGCTCATGCAGAGATCTGAGCAAGAAAACAAATAATTACATTTTGTTCTGGGAAGTGTGCTTGGGGCAGGGCTGGGGAGGTGGGGCTGGACACAAACTTCTGCTTGTGTGAAGGAAAAGTACCAAAAGCCAGTCCAGCTGACTCAGGTATAAATTGTATCTGGGGGCCTTTTCCTCCTGGGTTCTAGCGTAAAGGAGGTGCTGTTATAATATTTGGCAAAAACAAACGTGATTAATGCTAGGTACTCAAAGTGCTGGAAGAGACTTGAAAACAAGAATGGATGCGTAGGAGCTGCAAGGCAATGTGCCACCTTCAGGTGTCGTGCTCCCTGAAGCCGGGGTCTCCGCCCCCTTTCTTAGCCCAACCAGATCTCATCACATGAGACCAAATCACATCATCGTCACACGGACTCCCGGGGTTGCCTGGGTCCCCCACTGAGATGGGTAGAATTCCCAGTCTGAGTTCCCTGGGTTCCTCTGTGGGAGACGCACCCCACCCATTCCCGTGAGTTCTGTCTCACGGAGGCTATGGCCTCGTCATTCACTTGGTAGGATGAAGAGGACTTACTTCCCTGGGAAGCAGGCTTCTCACTCTTCCCCACAACGACGCCCAGAGCAGCAGCTGGGTGAGCTGTACTTTTTCCTCTGCAGCCAACAAGTACCCCAAAGCACCTTATACATTAAAATGTCAGAACCATTTACTTCGCTACGAACAGATGAGATTCTCGAGTGGCCCAGGTCTGAGGATGATTCAAAGGCCTCTGAGGTTGGAATTTGGTTTCTTTGCCTTTCTTGCTAAGGGTCCCAAATATCCGTAGCCACTTTCCAGATGGCGATTCAGTTTTACCCGCTGGGCTGTAGGGCCTAAGAAGTTCTCATTCAACCCGGACTCAGAACATTCTGGAGAAGAGTGAGAATCTCTGGATCATGGTTCCTTTTCTGCCAGAGAAGGCACACCACTCTGCCGTAATTCCCCTCACGTGAGTGAACGCCTATGGTCCTCCCCGTTGCTATCACTTTTCAGACCTGTAGCGGGGACCCCTTGACACACTGCCCCACTTACCTTGTTGACGCGGAAAGGGCATTCTCTGGTTTCCGATTCAGGGAATTTCTTCATCCACTTCCCAATGAAGTAGGCAGCATTGACCACGAGGAGTTTGGTCTGGTCATTCACATTGTTGGTGGATAAAATGTCCTCAAAGCGGCCTGCAAACAGTTTTAGGAAAACCGCAGATTGTACAGGGTTATCCCTCCTGAACACGCACTGTCCACTAGGTGGGGATTTAACACTCGCTAGAGCCACACCAGGGAGGGGCTGAGAGCCAGACCGCCTGGTTTCCGAAGGACCCCTTTCTCCCCTTTTGTCTCCCCACAACGGGGCTTACCAAAGCTTCCTCGGGAGGAGAACGAAGGGAGAAGGAGGGGAAAGAAATGAAGAGGAGGAAGAAGAAAAACACAAGCTACCACGTGCTAGACATTTGTGTGCATGCTATCATGTATTTCTCCCCTTTTTACAGACGGGAAGCAGTGACTTAGTCTACAGTCGCTTGCCCAAGATGGCACACTAGCAATGGCGGATCAGGACTGGAGACCCATGCTCTGGACTAAAAACACACGAGTGCTCACTTTACACCCAGCCCCGGCTTGCGTTTTCATGTGCATTAGCTCAGGTCTCTCACAACGATCGAGTATGGCAGAGGTCATTATCCCCATTCCACAGATGAGGAAACCGAGGCTCAGAGAGGCCCCAGGGCTTTCTAGCTCTCTCAGCAGGAAAGCAGGTCTGAGCCAGGACAGGGGGCTCCTCTTCACCCCACAGCTGTGCCCCCTCCCCAAGTCGCCTAGGTGTGCGCCAAGGTCAGCTGGCTCGACCACAGCTGTCGTCACTCTGGAGCTCAGCTTCCCAACAGCACAGCAGCTTGGTGGTAACAGCCCCCAGTGAGATTAAGTCCTTGTATCTGAATAGCACAAACGGGTTTCACAAAGGATTTCCACTTATCTAATCTCTAAAAGCAATGAAAAAATGTTTCGGGTAAGGATTAAAAATAAAAAATTCTAAAAGCAAAAATGTTACAGCAATTTAAACAGGGGCTGTTTCGTGCTTATCAGTGTGTGTCACCTGATGTTGATCCGTGTTTTCCCCTTACATAGGAAGGCACAGGGACTTCATTTCAACGGCGAATACAATACATACGTACATTTGCCTGTGGGCATACGTATCTGTGGCTACCACTACTCGCTTGCCTACCATATTATCTAAGTTGATCCTCACAACAACCGTGTAAAAACTAAATCAGATAACATATGCCCTATTTTACAGCTCAGTAAACTGAGGCTCCAGTTAGTTCAGCTGACAAGGGGCAGTGTCCAGGTTTGACTCTGAGGTCGTGAAGACTCCAAGGCCATGCTCCGTCCTCACCCTCACCCTGCAGTGATGGCGCAGACCCTGTCACCCCTGAGTCCTCATCACGACAGGGCAGCTCTGGCCGTTCAAACAGGAAGTGCGTGTCCCTTGCCCCAGCAGTGTGTCCCTCACTAGACTGCAATGGTGCCCGAAATATCCATCGCAATGCAAACCTTCACTCCTTCACAACTCGGCACTGCATCCCGGCAGGTGCCTCCTAATGTAAATATAGATGCAATCCTGGGAACCGGGATATGGACGCCGATCTGCCCTCATAAATCACCTTACTTCCAAGTCTTTTCTAGCAAGGAAGACTCAAGGAGAACATCAGTGGAGGGAGGGCTCAGGGAAAGGAGAGGCCCGAGAAAGGACTGGACCGGGCAGATGTCGCAGAAGAGACCAGGGCCTAGCAGAGGGCCCGAGCGGTCGAGAGGGGTGGGACCGAGGACATGTTTCCATCCTCTATGATTTGTTTTGGTTTTTTATGGGTATAAATGATTGCCTAAGACTCTCTACCCCCCTTTTCCATAATAAACTTGCACAATATTTGAGCTAGAAGTGGCCTCAGGGATCATCCAAGCCCTTCATTTCCAGTTTGAAAAACTGGACTCGTGACTTGCCAAACCCAGACTCAGTCAGGCTCAGCAAGACGGGCATGGGACAGCTCATCAGAGAGCGAGGCAAGGACGCTAAATAAAACAGAAGCACCGGGAATTTCTGCCAAGTGACAAGATGATGGAAGAAAGGCCCAGAAAGCCAATTTGTTGGAATAGCTCAATGGGCAAGGATTTAGCTTCTGAACTGAAAGCGTCACAGGGCCCCCCCCAGGTGTTCGATGGTCTGCTGAGCAGGGAGATTCCTGGGAAGGCAGGTCGAGATTTAGAGCAGAATAAAGAAAGATACTTGCCGTCCGTGAGATCCTTAATTGAGTTGTTGATCTGACCTTTCGTTTCTTCCAGTTTATCTTTGAAGTCAACAGTTTCCATTTCCTTTGCATAGGGTCTCTTTGTGGAACTTATGAACTCCTGAAAAGCAGCCAGTTCATAAAATCACAATGTACTTCACGGTCCGTAGTCAAACTCTCACGTTGTCACACGGTTCTCGTGAAAGGGATTTTAAGTGTCTATTGCTATGAATACACTTTCAAAATCTGAACTATCAGGTAAGCGGAAACTTCACGTAGAAATCAATGACTTTTCATCATATTGAATGTTTCCTTTCTTTAATTCCAAGACAGTATCAATTATTAAATGCATTCATCAATTTAGTATCAGCTTTGGGGGGAAGAAGCTCCCTGCTACATGTACATAACAGTTAATGTATGATTTCAGGAACATTAAAATGTGTGTACACAGATGTGTCTTAGAATGGAAGAAGTGCACAGAAAAAAAGAACTTTATCAGCAGAAAACCCTAATGTCACTGAAACAAATGTTCTACAGACTCTCGCTACTCAACGTGTGGCCCAAGAACAAAAGTCTCCACATCATCACCTGGAACCATGGTGGAAGTGCAGAACCTCAGAGCCCCGAAGAGTTGCTGAGTCAAAATGTGACTTTTACCAAGATGCCAAGGTGATTCGCCTGCACCTTGAGTTTGAAACAGTGGAGAACATGGCAATGGGTCTAACTCCAACGCCTGTTGAAATGCAAAGCCCTGAATCACATCCCTATTCATTTTGATTCAAGTGACCCGAGGCCAGGAACTGGCCCTTTTCACACCCGGGTAGCTGTGCTGCAGGTGGCCGTCCTCATACCGCACCTGCCTGCACCATTACCAGTGAATCTGCTAGACAACCGACAGGAGCCATGGAAAGCAGTCGAAATAAAATTCCTTGCAATTCCTGGTTTGGTTGAAATAATTCAAAATGTTGAGCAGAACTTCAACCAAACTAAACATAGCTGACTACTTATGTGAACGCAGGGCTCCTTCGATTTCTTCAGAGCAGCCGCGGCCTCAGCCAATTTGATCCTGTCAATTGCAACCCATGCTCTGGACCAAGTGTTGCCCTTGACCAAGAGAATGGAGGCCACCTCAGAGCATCAGAGCCTCAGTAAGATGACAACGGCCTCCACTGTCCTCAATGCCAGCAAGAAAATGTATTGAGCATCTCCTTAAGGACTACCTAAGGAGCTTTTCAATTTTCCTATACCCAGGCCCCAGCTCCATGTCTCAACATTTTATTTTATTTCCCTGAGTGATTATTGGAAGAAAAATGGCAACATGTATGTCTTCAAACAGCAAGAACAAACTCACAGCCATGTCTAGTGACCAATGTCCTCAAAAGATCTCAATCAGAGAGACAGAAAGCTGTACAGAAAGTAATAAAACTGTGGGGAAATGTCCAACTGGTGGTCTACCTTCGAGGTTTGGAAAGCTCAAAATTCTTTCTATCCAAACACAAACTGAATCAACCCTGTACTCCTGACATAGAAAATGAATTTCTTTCATGTAGTCTAGGATGCTGATGGTGCGTTTCAAGTACGGATTTTCTTAAATATGGTGTTATACACTGGAATCAAAGTTAAGGGCACCACAGTGTTCTTCATGTGATTCTTTCAAGAAATGGTGAAATTAAATGCCCAGAACAACCTGTATGGACACCCTCAGGACCAGCCTGGGAAAACAAACAAAGACAATTTGTGACTGATGAAAATTGCTGACTCCTACAGTTATCATGTTTCATATGGACTTCAAAAAAAATCAGGAGAGTGCTGTGCACAGACAGTGAGGTGGAGAACTTGAAATGTTGCCCAGCCTGAGTGCCCCCCTGCTGTCTGGGGAGAAAGGTGCAAATGGCAAGAGGTCTTGCATCTCCAGAGATCATTATTGCTCACTCCATTCTCCATTTCTCTGAGTGAGGAAGCCAAGGGGGAGGATAGGATCTGTGAGAGTTCAAGAGGATATGGCCGTGAGCTTCTCCCTGTTTTCAGCTAGAAGATGTGACTGCCGTTGAATCCCACTAAATTCAACCCCTCCACTAGGACTGACTCATTGTAATTGGCCTGGAATCAGACATGAGCACCCTAGCAGTGAGTTTTACTGGAAATGACACTGAACGACTTACTGTGGAAGGATTCAGGGACTTGTCTACATAGAGCCGTTTGATCAGTTTCAGCGAGTAGAAGGAACTAAGTTTGTTCACATCTGATGTTACTGTTTGAAATCCAAAGGGCACATCTTTGACATTTTCAAAATGAAAGACCTGTGAAGAGGAAAAATAACCCATGACCCACGAGGTATCGTGTCTTCCCACTGCAGTGGACACGTGGTAACCATTCCCAACCACTGGGGATGCACAGTCTCCCTGCTCCATTGACCCACAAGGCAAGGCTTCTCAGCCTCAGCACTGCCGATGTTTGGGGCAGGATATTCTTTGTTGCCGGAGCAGGGCGGTGGGTGATGTGGGATGTTTAACAGCATCTCTGACCTACTAGGTACCCTTTGTGGCAACCAAAAATGTCCCTGGACACTGTCGAAGATCCCCGGGGAGTGGGGGGTGAAACTGTCCCCACTGAGGAACTCTGCTGTTACATACTCTTCTCTGGATTTAACCGTAGGGAGAATCTGCGCTTTCTTCGAAATGACGCCTCTAATGCTCACACAGAAAGCTTTCCAAACTTAGAAAAGAGTGAGACAGGGTTGTAATTTCCATCTAATTTAGACACATGAAGAGAGAGTTGACTAGCAAAACAGTCATTAGGCAGTAATCAGACTCCAGGATAGAGGTGTCTCTAGTTCCTTCAGCTCCTCTGACAAGTGCCAAATGGGCCAATGTGTCATTTATGGTGGGCCGCCCCCATCCACAGTGGGCTGCCCAGGGTGGGCCAGGGTCCGACAGCCTGGCCTTGAGGCCCAGCCTGTGTCCACCAGAAATATAATCTAGCCCAACTCTGCAAGGCTTCACTTTTCCCTCTGCAAACCAGACTGGGAATACCTACTACTCTCAATTTCAATAATTTGAGTGCCCTCAATTTCAAGTATAAAGTTTTCACTTATCATGACCCAAGCAACACTTCATGGGTCATACTTTCTGAGGATGTATAGATACAAGGAGATGCTCCCTGTTTAACTGCTATGAGCTCATGCAAAGATTCTGTTGAACCTAGGATGACCCACATAAGAATAATAATGGAATGAAGTTAGGCATTCACATACTATCTAAAAGTCGGTGGGGGGAGGGGCAGAAACAGGTGGGGAGAAGTAAAAAGGTGCAAAGTTCCAGCTACAAGTAAGGCGTGGGGATGCAATGTACAGCATGGTGTTTGGAGGTTAAGACAGTAGACCTTGAAACTGCTCATCGCAAGAAAAAGAAATTCTGTAACTGTGAGTGATGACAGATGTTAACTAGACTTACTGTGGTGATCATTTGGCAATATATACAAGTATCAAATTCTTATGTTGTATTCCTAAAACAAATATCATGTTGAATGTCCAGTATACCCCAATAAAAAAATAGTAATAGAGCATGATGCTATAAATAAATTTTGTGCATAAGGCAAGAATATAGATTTATACTTTCTGGTCAGGGTATGTGCAGTGGAACACCCAGTAAGCTCCACCCCAGTCGATTCTTGCAGTAGAACATTTTACCAAGATGCCCGAGGACTTGCCAAAGGCCACTCATCAGCGAAAACCTCGTGATTACCTAGCAGATCCCCAGGTGCCCCATCACACACTGCGCCTGGGTCCCAGGGCCCATGAAGGCGCTTTCTCTCACACTGAAAACCAGATGGAGGCAGTGTGAGAAGGGGCCCAACTCTCCCTCCCCAGCGATTCTGGCCACAGAGCCCCACTCGCTCTCCCCCAGGCTCTGCCTGCGTTTTCTAATAACTGTTCCCTCTCCAAGCAGACACACAGCATGGGGCTTACCTGTCCGATTTCATTGGCTGTGTCACCTTTGGCTCCTACTTGAACTAGGGACAGGGAGGTGGAGAGACAGATGGGAGAGAACAGGACATTGCCCGCCGGCTCCTGTTCACACAGCTGTTTGAAGAGGTCGACTGCGAAAGCCGAGTTTGCCAGCTGCAGGGCGTCCATTGTGGGCCTGGAACAAGAAGGACAAGGGCTTTTACAGTCTTCTCCCCCGCATTCTGCCAACCCAGTGAGAGTCTCACCTCAACAAAGCAATTGCCTGCACTAGACGAGAGGAAGGAACTGTCCACAAAAGACAACTGGGAAGGCCGGTGGGGAAGAGACTCCTGGGCAAACGCCCGACAGGCTGAACAGTGCAGCACCCGAGGTCCCCGTGTGCACAGCTCTGCCCGGAATTCCCAAGTTCAGGCGTAGCAGACCCATGGCCATTGTCGAGAGCCAGATGCCCATGCCTCTTCCTCTGCCAGTGGTCAGGGCAGTTGGTGGCACCAATCAGAATCGCTTGGTTTTATTTATCCACATTGTGTCAATTAGGATGTAGCTTAAAGCATACAAAAAGTGACATTTCTGCACATCAAAAGCAGCCAAATCACAGCAGTTTTGTGTGGTTCAGTTTAACTATTGGTATTAGGGGTTGGATTTGTGTCTCCCCCAAAGGACATGCTGATGTCCCACCCCTGGGTACCTTACTTGAAAATAGCATCTTTGCAGACTGAAGGGAGCTGAGGTTGTTAGGGTTGCCCTCATCCAAAGTGACTGGTGTCCTTCTCAGAAAGAACAGGAGAAAAGACAAGAGACAGTGACGTGCACAAGAGGGACAGTGACGTGAAAATACATGGGGAGAGGCCAAGTGATGGCAGAGGCAGAGACTGGAGTGACGTTTCTGTGAGCCAAGGAACCCCAGGGACACCCAGAAGGCAAGAGAGGGGTGAGGACGCAAATCTCCTAAGGCTAAGGAGCATAGCCCTGCCAAGACCTTGACTTCAGACTCTGGCCTCCAGAACTGTGGGAGAATCCATCTCTGTTGTTCTAAGTCACCCAGTTTGTGACACTTGGTGACAGCAGCCCTACTGTGAGTAATGCCTCAGTAGGGCACCTAGCCCATAGCAATGTTCCATGTACAGAGCTGTCATTGTTCCTGATGCTAATACATTTTGGAAGACCCTGTTTGTGACATCGTAAGGACCAACTAAGTTGCTTCTCCCATGAGTTTGCAACCTATTTGGGCAGATGCATGAAAAGTAAGTAAAATGCATGACAGCCCAATGCCTTATGAGTGGCACACCAAGTCCTGAGGGGTTCAAGGAAAGGAAGAGAGGGCAGTCCAGCTCAAAGCAGGGAAGCTGGTTACGTGGAAAGAATGTGAGTGGGACTGGGTCCTGTCTTAGAACTGTCATTCTGACCCTGGCGTCCTCTCATTGGCCCTCAGTGACCCCCAGCAGTCTCTACAACCCTTTCAGCGGGGTCATGAGGTCAACACTGTTTTCATGATAATACTTAGGCACCGTTTGCCTTGTTACTCACGACCTCTCCCAAAATACAGTGCAGTTTCCCAGAGGCAGACGGTGGGTCCTCCATTAACCCACACGTGAAGGAGAGCTGCAGAAATGAGAACCAGCACTGCGCTTCCCCTATACTTACTTTAGAAAAAAGTTGTTTTTTTCCATTGAAATATGCTATGTTCGTGTGTAATGGTAACATTGCTTTTTGTTTTTTTCTTTTTGGTTTTCATTGAATTTATTGGATCAACATTAGTTGATAAAATTATGTAGGTTTCAGGGGTACCATTCTACAACACATCATTTGTGTATTGTATTGTGTGTTCACCACCCCAAGTCAAGTCTTCTTCCAGCACCATTTATCCCCCTTCTACCTCCTCCACCCCCGGTAAGATTATTATTTTAATGAATTAGTAAATAAATATTTCAAACTTTCTCCAGTTTTAATTTCTGATTTGCTAGATATTTGCTAGATATTACAACATTTTTTATAAGAAAAGAAAAATGGGGGAAAGAAGAGGAAGGGTCAAGTCGAGGAACATGTGTAAAGGACCCGTAGACAATGGGAGGGGGGAGGGTAGAATGTGGGAGGTGGGCAGGTGGGGAGAGTAATGGGGGGGATGGGGACAACTGTAACTGAATAATTTTTTAAAAATTTTAAAAGATGGTCATAATGGCAACTTAAAAAAGAAAGGAAGAAAAGAAAAAGAAAAATAGATCCATAGTAATTTGAAGGTGTAAAGTGGTCCCGAGACTTAAAAGTTTGAGAGCTGTTCTTCTAGTGGAAGTCCTGTCTATGAGTCCCGTAGTCACTGGTCCAGTCTGAAGTTCCCAGGATAATCCGAGCAGTCGGGCACAGCTCTTTCTGGAAGCTGAGCCGAGCTACGTGGCCTTGCCCAGCTGTACCTGACCCAGGACAGCATGTTTCTGAGGAACGTAGACTAATAACAATGCCCCTGAGTGACTAGTACACAGATGAAGCCCAGAAGCCCAAATCAGTCAGGCACTGTGCAGTCTTGTGCACAGACTCAAAGCATGACCATGACATTGAAGGTCATCGGGTGGGGCATGCTCCCTGACATCCCCACTGGGGACAGGGTGCTTCCTCCAGCCAGACCCAAGGATGTGCTAGACCTTGAAGTAATCTGCCGAAGGAGTTGGACTGCAAAAACTTCAAAGGGTATCAAAGGGTAAGGAGATGCTCGTGTTACCCTTTCATTCCATGGAGGCATTTATTCCGTCATTCACTATCACATTCTGAGATCCATTTAGTCTAAGCAGCTCCACCTGAGTGCAAGCTCTTGGTGGCTTTTAGGACAGTTAATTACACAATACAGTCAACACTGTGCTGCAATTCAAGCCATAGATTCCGGTTCCCGTTGGAGAGTGCCAACCAGCACACCCCTGACACCCAAGGCTTTCCCGTGGGTCGCAGAACCTCCTTTCGAAGAGTCCCTTCCTTTGCATGAGAGTCCTCAGTGCGTGAGTCCCACAGACCCACCTTTCCATCCGGGAAATTGGTCCCAAGTGCCCTGAAACCACTGTGAAGTTGACCTAGGCTAAGGTGGTTCAAGGGATGACCTGGGCTTTGGCCAATGGTCACCTCACCGTGCTGCAACGCAACCATAGAATCTAAACAGACCTTAGCAACGTGAGTGACACACACAGGAAAATGCATCAGGTTTCTTTCTACACGGGCCATTTTAGGTAGCCAATGCTGTAAAAACTACGATACGAGGGTAGAAATGAACAAGACCTCCAGAGTAAATTGACATGTCCAACACTTCTGTTCAGAGTGCTAACATTGCTACAGACTCTTTCATTTTATTATCACTTCGTTACAGTGATAACATCTTTGGTCTTCATGAAAACCTTCCAACGATTATAACAAGCAAAGAGAATTTCATTTACAGCTCCAATGTAGAAAGCACTGTGTGTTTTTGTCACTTAGAACTTTAAAAGCACTTTTTTTCAATCAAGGAAGAGATGGAAATTTAAGTAGTAATACAAATGCCACAAACAAACAACAAAGAGCTGTAAGAATGTATCACTAGGTTGCCTGGTTTTTTGCAATGCATCTTCAAATCCTAAACCACAAAGTGGGATGAGATCTTGGCCTGAACCTCGTCTGGCTCCACTCCTCCATTTCACAGAGGAGAAGAGCGAGGCAGACAGAGATGCAGTGATCCTCCAGGCCTCCCACACAGGGAGTGAAAGTGGTAAAACCAGCCCCAGCGTTCACTTCTCCCAGCGCCCAGCCCGGTGCATTAAACCACACCTCACCCCGGGCCTCAGCGACCGTCTGAGCGGGTATGGGTGAGCTCACAAGTCCAGCATTCCAAAACTCCCGTGTGTCCTGAATTCCCCTTTGGAGACACCAAGATCCACAGCATGTTGTTGTTTTTTTTTAATCAACACAAACTTATTTTTGTTTTCCTCCTTGAAGCGTCTCTTGTTCTCTTTCTGCCGTTTATGTTGCAAATTATTAAAGTTACATCACTTTTATTTGGTAAGTATTAACTGAGCACCAAATGCACGTCAGGCACTGAGTTAGACGTTAAGACGTCAAAGGTGAACCCAACGCGGTCCTGCCTCCACTGAGCTGTCAGCCTAGTGGCGTGAGGTGTGTAATGAGTCCCGAGCATTTTCATGGGGCTGGGGGCGGGGCAAGCTGCCATGAGAACCCTTTGGAGAGAGAGCTCATTTATAGCAGAAACCTTGGCAAGGTCTCCTCAGAAGCAGTGACAGCTAAGTAAATCACACTAAAGGTGAGTCCTAAAGACAAGGAGGAGCTAGCTAGGCAAAAATGTGGGCCAGCAAGACCCAACACAATTCAGAGACTGCCAGCAAGCCCAGATGAATGAAGAAGCATGCAGTAGAATGTGAGGAGGGGCAGGCGTGCTCACATCCCAAGACTTACAGCTGCTCACTGGCCCTCTCTGCGTAAAGATGCCCAAGCTTTTAATGCACCTAAGCCAGTGGCCCTCAACCTTGTTGTCTGTAGACCACTTAGGTGAGAAAAATACCCACACATCCTGCTCTGCCTGGGACCATCCAGGTTAATGTCTGCTGGCCTGACATGCCTCCTTCATTCTCAGCTGGGCTGTGATTTGAGCAACATGTGTTCACTGTTCCTACAGACCACCCACCCCACTCATCTACACACATGTGCACATGGGCACACACAGCCAGGGGCACAGTTTTTTCTTTCCTTAAAATCCTTTCTGCTGTGTCAGGTTCTGGTGGATATCACTCAATCCCAACCTGCCTCGTATCACAGATGAAGGAAAATGCGAAGGAAAAAAAATCTGTTAAGTATTTGGTGTAATTGATCCTTAGGCAACGACCTTGAGAAACCTCACTTATTAGAATAACCATTACGGAATGTCTGAAAACATAGTCCCTGCAGTCTGTACTCCACCTTCCAGAAGAAAGACACCGGAGCTGGGTGCAGGAGATTGGAGACCTTGCAGGTTCTGTGATGTGAGAGAACATCAGAGGATCACAGGAAGTAATGAAAGGTGTACTTGGGAAAGATCTCTGTTAGCAAGAAAGGACAATGCTGCTATTAGCAATAAGGTCAAGTTCCTAATTTCCAATGGCAAGAGAGCCCCTTCTTTGCTCCAAGATTCTGAGACGTCGTATCTGCTCCTGTTTGTTTAGACACCCCACCTTGACCATTTAATCACCCCACTGATAGCGAACAGTAAATGAGAGCCCAACCGGCCAGGTCAGCGTGACCAAAACTGCTGAGGCTGCAACAGTCAAAGTCAACCCACAACCCGGAGGGACTGGAGTGGCAGAATTCAAGGCGTTAGGAAACAAAGGCATAGACCTGCTGAGTCATTTTCTGCGGAGAAGCCTCTCTCCAGGCTGGCTTGCACCCCTGCGGCCATTGCAGAACCCAGCAAGCCCTCACACTGATGGCGGGGGCTGAAGTTGGAGACCCACCCAATTCTATTCAACACGTTTTGAGTGACTTGAGTGATGTGGAGAGTGGAAAGGCCACCGAGAATACCCATGGTGTGACAAAAACGTCCTTGAGCTGTGAGTTGGAAGGCCTCAGTCCTACTGATCTCACCAGGTAGAAGCCATGTGACTCAGACAGCCACGCCACCCAGGTGAGCGGCTGAGAGGAAACTCGCCCAAGACCCCTCTGCCCTGAATCTGAGTCTACAGAACGACCTGGCACGTTCCACTGATCTTTCATACGCATTTACAATGAAGCTGTAAAAGCAGTAGCATCTATAAAAAAAAAACTACGAGCCGGCAACCTGTTTGAAAAGTTGCCCAAGAACACATATTTGAAATCTGTAACTTGTTTCCAGTATCCCGAAACACAGAGACTGGGAGGTGGGATACTTTCTGCCCAGGAGAACGCAGTTTCAAGTAAATGAACACTGACTGGATGTTTAAAAATGCCAAAAAGAAGAGCGGTTTAAAGTCTGAACCTCCACCACACAAAGCCAACCAGGGAGGTGAGTCAGACGCTCAAATGCACTTCCACTTTCTCCAGGTTTCCAGTACCAGCCCTTTCTGGAGGAAGTGCTGCGCAATTCGCTCTTAATTCCAAGATCGGGCTAAAAGTGGGCCCGGAAATACTTTCTCTGCTGCCCATTACTGCGGCGTCCCCCACCACCAGCACTGGAACCTCCCAGCCACGTGATTCCTTCACAGTCTTACCTGGTATGGCTGAGTGATTGCTCTCCCTACCTGGCATCCTGGTGCCCAAAGGCCTGAGAGCTGGAGATGCTGCCCGAGGTGGCGGCTGCCAGTCAGGGGCAACAGTCCCCAGGCCAACTGCCTATCCTTGAAAATCACGCATTATGTCGACTTTGTTCACCATCTTGAATCAACTCAAATGCCTCTTTTGTTTCAAAGAACTGCCCTAAAAAGGGAACTCACCAGTCCTACTACCTCCACTTCGCTTACCTGGAGTCACAGTTACGTTGGAAGATGCAGAGCAGAGAAGAGGAAAGCGAGGCTCAGAAGAACCTGGACGTGGAAGCAGCTCTGTGATGAGAGACACTAGCTCGCCCACCTGAACCCCGGCCCCTCCCTCTGGCCACGCCCCACCCGCGCTCTCCGCCCCTCCCACTTCTGCACCTCCGCTCTTACTCACGTCTCCTGGCAGCTTCTCCACGAATGAAGAATTATTCAGGCTGAAGTTGCTGTTGCCTGGGCAGCTTCCAAAGGCCTCCGACATGCTCAGGCAGGAAAGGGCTGTCGCAAGCCTGCCTTGGCCGTAACACATACACATCTAAGGGCAACCCTAGCAGCCCACGTGAGACTGGGAGGTGAAATATTATGTGAAACGGAAGGCATATGTGATGGTCGTAAATGCTTCATACTTCTCAAACACAGTCTTGCCACAAAGAGCACCCTAACCTCTATCCTTTCCTGTAAACTCCACTGGGTCATCTGGTAGAGCCAAACAGGCAGCTACCTATCAAACAAAAAAGTAATCACAAAAGAAAGAGGATATATCAATTAAATAAATTGTACTTAGCAAAATATACAATACCAAACTGGTAGGAGAAATTGTTTGAGGCAAACCAAATCATCACGTTTTACCCATAAAACGCGCTCTTTTTGATGTGTTCGCCCCCCTGACCTCCTGAGGCTCCATCACTGGCTGGGACCTCCTCCTCCCTTCCTCCCTAATCTGCTCTCAGGGAAGGACCTCAAACTGAGCCCATTCCTTCTCTGCTGTGCCCACCCAAATATTCCCTGACCCCATTGTTTTATAATAATCTACTTATTACAGATCTCTATCTGGATACAAGAATCTTAAAGGTAAAGACCAGGCCTCATTCCTTCTGGCGACACCGACACTTGGCAGGGACTTGGTTTATAGCGTGCCGTCCATAAGTGCAGGTTGACCAAATGAACGACAGCAACTCCTGTTGCTAAACTAACATTGACTAAGAGCGTTCCCTCCCCCAGACCCTAGATATTTTCTTTCAACCAGGATCAAAGTCACAAACTAAATAAGTTAGACTCCAAAAGCAGAATTTCAGGCGTCATTGGAACCCACGGAGGCACGAAGGTCCTATGAGAGGGATGCGGGCAGGACGGTTCCCCTTGCTCGGGGGTCAAGTCATAAATTTGGAAACCGACTCTACTCCTCATGGCTTGAGATATTTTAGACAAAGGGCTTCACCTCTCAAGCCTCCGTTTGCTCACCTGTAAGATGAGGCACACATACATGTGAACAGTCTATTAATGTGTAAAGTGCCTGCACACAGCATGCCGTCCCTAATAACAGCAGTGATTATTAGCATGTTGCCTATCCCTCAGACAGGCACAGCCTGGAGTAATATCAAAATGGCCAGAAGGCTGGCGAGGGACATTCACATCTAAGTCACTAAGATAATGCTACTGTGTTGGCAGTGTGCTTGCTACTGTGACCAAAAGATTTTAAGAGACTGGCACTTGAATCAGAGAGCTTGGTCCATTCTCTCTATTGATGGCTGAGTTCCCTCTATCACGGCCCCTATTCAGTGCTTGTCCAACCCGGACAGAAATACTCCCAGAGATGGGAATTCCATGATACCCAAGGAAGCCCACACATAACTCCTACACTGGAGACAAATGTTTCTTTTAAAATATTCAGTAGGAAATGATATGCCTGTTTGTAGGAAGAAGTATTTGCTCTATAATTCCAAAAATGATCCATAGTTTTCTTCTCTTCTAGTTGCCACAAACACCATGTTATTGACTGTATATTAAAAAGTGTCGTTTTTGGAGGGAGGAAAGACATAATAACTTAAAAAATGAATTACCCATTCATTCATCAAACGAATGTATCAAATATTAAATCCTCTAGTTTCACAAATGTAATCATCAGCCCAAATATTTAATAACCTAGGAGACTGCTCTGTAAGTGTTTTTTCTCACTTATAGGTTGAAACATGGCAGACATCATAACTTGATTATTCAGCATTCAGGCTGAGGAATAGCTGGCACACCCAGCCACTCCCAGGAACAACTCAAAAGAAGCTTTGTTATAGCATGCTCAGAATCATTCATATTCTCTCTCTCTCTCTCTCAGAAGGTAAATTTCAGCCACAGATTCTTGAGCAACCTCCCCAGGTACCCAGAAATAGTCAAGTGTTTTTCCCCACTGATACGTATGACAGTTTCCCACACAGCAGAGGAGGAACAAGAACCTTGCTCATTTCAGCAGGTGTCATTTTGGTGTCACCAAAATGACACCAAAAAGGCTCCCTTCTAGTCACTGGAAATGATTATCTCCATTTCCCTGTGGAGGAACTGAGTCAGGAAAGATAAGGCAACTTTATTTTAGTGTTTCTGAGACAGAAAAAAAATGTTACAAACCCTCCAATGGATCGTCCTTCACCCTAACTACATCCTTTTTGAGGACAAAGCAGCCTACCGGGATTCTGGTCTCATAAGCTTCTTGGTGTTTAAGAAACCCAACCTTCTGTTTAGAAGAAAGTTCATAGGAAATAATAACTTGTTATGGCAAATAGCCTATGTGTAATTTTCTGCTAAGAAAAACCTTAAGAGGAAAATTTAAAAAGTAAGACCAAAATAAATAAATACATAAGGAGAGAGTAATGCTCACAAGATTAAGTTGTATAACAGTAGGTTAAGAAATATATATGTAGATGTATATTGAGGGGCTTTTATTTCTTGCTGTAGACCACTTGAGGATTCCTTGATTTTGCACTTAAAATGGCACATGTGTGGGTATGCTTAGAAGACAAAGAAAGTACATAAAATAGTTTTAACAATAGTTATTTCTGGCTGGTGAAGTTAAAGGTGATTTTCATTTTCTTGTGTAGTGACCTGTACCTTCCACATTTTCTACAGTCAACACCTATTATTTGTTATGATTAGAAAGTTCTGTCTCTTGACAAGTTACTGTCAAAAACCTGTCTGCCCCAGCCAGGCCTTTGCATAGTATATCTGTACTTGTAGTCCATGAGGACCTGCTGCACCCAACAGGTCTCTGCAATTTCAGTAGCTAATAAGGAGCTAAGTAACTTTTTAAAATAAGCTATGTTTCTTAAGAAGTAGAAATTTCAGAGTGTACCTCGGTGAGGTCTAGGAGCTCAACGGGCCTGGCCCAGCAGACGCTGGGCGCACACCAGAGACAGCAAACAGCCCTGGCCCCTCCGGAGATGGACCGGGCCAATGAGGAGCCGGAGGCAGTGCCCACCAAGCAGAGCACTTCCTGGAGGGTCCCCCCTGCCCCTTACAGAGGGAGATGCCTGTGGGGACCAGGCTGACCCTCTCTCCCCACCCCCACTGCCCCGCTCTGACTCTTTCTGATGGCATGATGTGGCTTCACAGGTCAAGGAGAAGCCCACGCTCAGCTGTGAAGGAACCTGGGCCCCCCACCAAGTCCAAACACCAAGTCCAAACACCAAGACCAAACCCTTGTTTCCAAACAGAGGAGACACTTAAGCCCCCAGCGCCTGTGTGAGCTTTTTAAAAGTGAGGTCAGGAAGACCTTTTACCACGTGATTTGTAATAACCATTTTTACATAAATTCTGTTTTTATTTCATTTTATAAATGAAGAGGAAAATAACTACCGAGGCACAGGACTAGCGGGCAACTTCTCCCAGGTCGCAATGTTGACACTGGGGGAGCCAGAGCCCCGATTTCAATCCAGGTGGCGCCCTTAGCAAACGCGCAGCGCTCCTGTACTAAATAAACACCGCGCTGCTGCGCGTAGTCTGAGATTAAACTTGGATTGTGGGGTACACTGTGCGCAATATAAGAAGCGCCCCTTCCTCTACAAGCTCAGTTCTACGTGATGACGTCGAGCTGATCCCCAGGAAGATCCCCTCACATCCCCTCCTACTGCTCACACAGCGCTTTGCATACTAGGCCTGGAATTTGAAAAGGGACGCAGGAGCAGGTCTCTGGGAGGAGAAAGCAGGATTTGCAGCAGCGACAGGTGCAAGCACGATTGCTATGAAAGCAGCGGTGCCCACGTCTAAGGAACAGTTGCTGTTTTAACATTTTGAATTATAAAGAATTAAACATTATCGTAAGCCCTAAGAAAAGATGAAATACTGCCATTTGTGATGACATGGATGGATCTTGAGAATATCATGCTAAGCATAAATAAGTCAGAAAATGTCAAGAACCATATATGAGTATTTTACTCCTATGTGAGATATAAAACTGAAAGCAACGAATGCACAAACAGGACAAACAAACAGAAGCTCGTAGACGCGGAGAACAGCGTGGTGGCCAGCAGAGGGAGGGGGCATGGGAGAGGTAGTAAAGGGAAAAGAGGTCAAGTTTATGGTGACAGAAGGCAATTTGACTTTGGGTGGTGGGCACACAATACCAAATACAGATGATGTATCATAGACTTGTACACTTGAAACCTATATAATCTTATTAACCAATGTCACCCCAGTAAATTTAATTTAAAAAGCATTGTAAGTCAATCAAATTTTTCTTTTTCAACCCTGGTTGGTGTAGCTCAGTGGATTGAGCGCGGGCCTGTGAACCACATGATCATGATTTGATTCCCAGTCAGGGCACATGCCTGGGTTGCAGGGCAGTTCCCAGGAGGGGACTCATGAGAGGCAACCATACATTGATATTTCTCTCCTTCTCTTCTTACCTTCATCTCTAAAGATAAATAAATAAAATCTTTTTAAAAAAGTTTTCTTTTTCATATGAAAATACTCACACTACTGGTTCTCCGGCATCACTGTGCATCAGAATATTAGGGGTGGAGATGGGGGGGAAGGTGGAGGAAGGAAGTACAATCAAACTGCACATTCCCAGGCCCAAATCTCTGGATGTGATACCATGTGTCTAGGCCCTGGAACCTGAATTCCTTCCTTCCAGGGGTTCAGCACTGGTCGTTCACAGCTCACACCTCCAAAATCACAGTCAGCTGGTCCCCAGCTCTGCCATTTACTGACTCCACGGCCTCGAGCAAATTGCTGAGTCTCACTTTGACTCAGTCTCCCCATCTGTAAAATGGGGTGACATTAGTAGCCCCTCATAGGGTTA